CTTTCAGAATGTCAGGGTTGGGTTCTACTGGAAAGATAGTCAAATTTGTCCTAAGGCACGAAATGCATTTAAAAGAAATGATTCAAATGCCAAAACAACTTACCTGAATCTTTCCTACTCTTTGTGTTTACACATGCTTTAGTGCTGCCCAATGCTACCAGCCACTGCTGACGTTCTTGAGCATTTGCTGCTCGTAAATAAATATGCTGTTCTCCAGGTATAACGAGATCCAGTCGAGTGCTGTCAACTGGATTCACTGCAAAAGACAATTTATTAATCAAAAGCAGGACACCTAGCTAGCACAATGCTCTTTATAGTCACTGTATTCCAATTACTCACCATTAATTTCTAAAGCAGAGACTTTCATGGAACCTTTACAACCTTGGTTTACTTCATCTTGAGAATTATAATATGATAACACCCCATTTTCAAGTATAAACCATCTGGTTTGCCACCCTGAGAAAAAATTAAAATTTAACCCTTTAAATTAGCGAAGGAGAGGAAAAAATTTTGATACAAAAAGTAAGATATTTCAAAGTTTAACAGTATAAAGTTGTAAATTTATTCAAGCCAAAATAAAGAGAAAGTTTTGAAAAAAAGAGAATAAACACAAAACGTGAAGTTTAAATAAATTCTACAAAAATCATTATTTTCAGAAAAGTAAAAGAATTTTTATTTTATTTTTTAGTGATAAAGAAATATTTTGTGTTTTCTTACCACTCCAATAATTTGTCCACTTCCAGAGAATTCCTTCCATCTGAACAATATCAACAATGCCAGCTGTCAAACAGTAATTGCTTCATCTTACATCATTGCAGTGGGAAACAAAGCAAATCACACATGCTACATGAGTTTTTCCAAAATAGCTATCAACACGGAAAATAGAAAATGTACGCGAACAAACTTTCCAGCTAATTAACTTTTTGTGTCAAAATTCCTATCGAAAGACGTCGTAGCAGTCGTACGTCGTACCGCAACGACATTGCAATCCAGTCCAGTGGTCTGGACTGCAATATGAATATGAAATCAGAATATGAAAACTTCAACACAAAGGATGGAAGAGTTCTAGTTCAGATTACAGTTTTTGAAGCACGGACTTCCCTACCAAAACTCTTCTGAGCTACACCACTTGAATGTCAGCAAAGGTTAGATGGAGAGAGAGAGAGCATTTGAAATATTTTCATAGTTTATTAAGTATATGAACAAGTACAAAAACTTAAGGGAAAAACTGTATGTACAGAAAAACACAATGCAAACTCTGCTGTCAAATTTCACCGCAACTCAAAATTCTGCAATTAGACATTGTTTTGGCACTTTGCTTAGTGTTCTTCATCAGAGGAACCATCACTACCACCAAAGAGAAAGTTATTTCTGTTAGCAGGATTTTTTTGTTTCCTTGCTAAAGACGAAGAACCTGATGTACTAGGATTGCCCGGATGGGCATTGGTATTGGCATTACTTGCTTCCCAATTCCCTTTCCATTGCTCTGTTTCTCCATCTAGAAAAAACGTTCAACACAAATTTTAAACCAAATAACTTGTAAATTGTAGTTTTTATAAAGAATGATAAAGGTTACTTTACCTGAATCATAAATATCATATGAATACTTGTGGTCCTTCAAGACAATTAAAATAGTTGGGAATTCAACGATACTTTTCTTCATCAAGTTTCCTCTGATTGTCATGTCTAAATCAAGAATATGGTATCTAGGGGGAAAATTAAATAAAAGTTCATAAAAATATGGACAAGTGCAATACCAAAAAGGTACAAATGGCATGCAACTATTTACCTGTTCCGTTCCATCTCCCCAACCCTTAACAAAGCATGAACACCACTCATGCCAGCTGCAAAATAATACTGTAACTGTTCTTGATGATCTTTGACTTTCTCACTTTCTGGATTAAGCAGTGGACTTAGTGCTTCAGCTAGACGACACGTTTCTATTACCCTGTTTGAACAAAAGTAATGATACCCTTTTAGATGCTACATCACACAGCAAGAAATCAGAAGCATGAATCTAATTTGAAACTGGTTGACAACTATCCCTAAACAAGGTGAACTTACTTTTCACTGACAATGCGTACTCCAGCCTGGGGAAATAGCCATTCAATGCACCAGAATACAGTACGAGTAGGATTACCAGGGATAACTCTTGATGTATTTTCCTTCGCTCTCTTGAAATTTCTGGGTAAGAAGTGAAGACGAATCCCTCTGTCTCTGGAAGCTTTGCCCAATGAATGAAGGTGCTGACAGGAAGAAAGTTTGAGAAATGAAAGATTGTTTGAGAATATTCGCCATTAATTTTTCTTTGCATATCCTGACATACCCCTGGCAGAAATCTTGAAACTCTCTTCAGCGGATTGTTTTGGATTTCTTGGACAGAACGGGTGAAATCTTCCAGGAGTCGGTAATCTGAAAGACATGTAAAATATTAATAATCACATTCAATCGCCTTGGAAGGAGTTGCCCCTTGTTTCAACTTACCACTCAAAAGGTCTAAGTTATTAAACTTTGATTTTCGCTTGTAAAATATTTTGTTCCTTGAACCATCACACTCGAGCTCTTTCTTGTGAATATTTACACAGGCTAAACAGCAAGTCTTAACCTCACATCTTGGACACGTGTATTTTGCCTCACTGGAGGCGCAAACTTCACAAGGACCAAGCCTAGAATACAGACAAAACACAGCGCTTTAGAATGGGCCATCCAAAGAAGTCAATAAAAAAGATTAACAATGCACCTTTTGGCCGAATCAGACGAATTTTCAACTTCCTCGATGTCGACCATGTTGTCCATTTGAAGTGTTTGGTGTTTACTTTACTTCATGTCTGAAATTTGAAACTCTCATCAAAGCAACTCCCGACGAGAACAATTTCTCATCTTTGAGAAAACATTTTATCCAACTTCTCGCATCTTGTGTCTGTTCTTTTGAATAAAATTATGAATAAAATAAGCATGCCTGGTTATGCATGAATTGATAATTTTGCTTGTTTCATTTTTCAATTAAAGGGAAATCCGATGTACGATGTTTAGTCAGGAAAAAAGCATAATCCTCCCATGCAGTTTCTTTTTTCGTGTTGCCTTTCTTTGCAGTGCGATGATGACAAAACACCTGCCGTCATGGCATTGAAGAAATGATCAGAAAGCATAATTTTGATAGAATGCATTATTTTCTGTCAGTACACTTGCCGCAATGATTTCTGATTATGATTCCTTAAGTAAATACTGTTTTCAAGTTGCTGCGCACCTGTAGACATCCGAAAGGTACGTTTGTATTATGTTTGAAGATACGTTCACAGCAGTACACACCCATCAGGTAACCAGTTCATTATTATAAGAAATTATTACAATTATGCTGGTAAACATTCACATTTTTTATGCGTAAGTATTTTTCAATACTTTGAGTGCCCTCGCTTTTATTCTTGAATGCTCTAACGAAGCTATGAGTAGAGTAGCGTTTGTCTTTCGAGAGGTTAGGTTGATAAATATTAAATAAATATTGAACTTTTTTGATGATTTGTCTTCATCCTATGCCTGTGGGATGTGGATGAGCTATGAACTAATCTTCCACGCATTATCTCCTCTACTACCAGGTTCTACTTGATTTGATGATACTGTAGATTAAAATACCTTCAAAATGTCTTCATCAGCTGTGTACTTGCTAGATGTGAAGGGAAAGGTAAGGTCTCCAAACTTGATCTCAAGTTAAAAGAAAAATTTTAGAAATGAAAAGTGCTTCAGAATCCAATTCTTAACTATCATTTCTAATCTTTTCTTGGTAGTAGTCGTGCTTGTCACTTGAAATAAAGCTTAATGAAACGTTGGTACATCCCACAGGTTCTAATCTCTCGTAACTATCGAGGTGATATTGATATGGGAGTGATTGAGAAGTTCATGCCTTTACTCATGGAAAAAGAAGAGGAAGGATTACTGACTCCTATTCTTCAGACTAATGATTGTACTTTTTCTTACATCAAGTACAACAACTTGTATATTGTTTCTACAACAAAGAAGAATGCTAATATTGCTTTAGTCTTCACCCTCTTACACAAAATTGTACAGGTAAAATAAATTCATGTATATTGTCCAGCGGGGAAACCTTGCCATGCAATCAGACTTGCATCATCTTTAAAAAAATAATTTGTGACTTGAAAGTGGAATTTTATGAATCAAATAATTTCTTCATATTCAAATTCCTTTTGCTGAATATGGTGATCCAAGTTATACTGCATTAGCATTCTGAATAGCACTCAACTTCAATGGGCCATCAACCTCTGCTGGACTACATACTAATAACCCAAGTTTAATCCAACATTTTATAAACTTTTTGTTACTTAATTTAGGTCATGATAGAATATTTTAAAGAACTTGAAGAAGAAAGTATTCGTGATAATTTTGTGGTGATATATGAACTATTAGATGAATTGCTGGACTTTGGGTATCCTCAGACTACTGACAGCAAAATTCTTCAAGAGTAAGTTCTACAACACCTCTCAATTGCAATGGTCAAACCTAATTTTCTTAGGAATTTAATAACATCTCTTCATTGACAGGTATATTACCCAAGAAGGTCATAAGCTTGAAATTCAACCTCGGCCTCCTCCTGCTGTGACCAATGCTGTTTCATGGCGATCGGAGGGCATAAAGTATCGCAAAAATGAAGTTTTTCTGGATGTCATTGAATCAGTGAACTTGTTGGTAAGTGCTGAGACAGTTTAAAAAGTTAACTTTGTCCAAATCTACCAATTTAACATTATTTTCTTGCTTAGGCTAATGCAAATGGCAATGTCTTAAGAAGTGAAATTGTTGGAGCAATCAAAATGAGAGTTTATCTGTCTGGTATGCCGGAATTGAGGTTAGGCTTGAATGACAAGGTATTATTTGAGAGTACTGGTCGAGGAAAATCAAAATCTGTTGAGCTGGAAGATGTGAAATTCCATCAATGCGTCCGCTTGTCCAGGTAAATAATGTCCGGAATAGTTTCATTTGATTATTGTATGAGATGTTAGTTGTTTTATACAATCTCTCAATTTTTGGCAGGTTTGAAAATGATAGAACCATCTCTTTCATTCCTCCTGATGGAGAATTTGAATTAATGTCCTATCGACTCAATACACATGTAAAGCCACTTATATGGATTGAATCAGTCATTGAGAGACATGCACACAGCCGCGTAGAATATATGATCAAAGCAAAATCACAGTTCAAGCGTCGATCAACAGCTAACAATGTAGAGATTGTAATACCAGTCCCTGCTGATGCTGATTCACCCAAGTTTAAGACAACTATTGGTAGTGTCAAGTATGCCCCAGAGCAGAATGCTATTACATGGACAATCAAATCATTCCCAGTAAGTTTATATTACCTTTACCTTTCCAGTTGATTTTATCTTAACACACTATTTATTTTCTTTTGTATTTCACTAGGGTGGAAAAGAATACCTGATGCGTGCTCACTTTGGTTTGCCAAGTGTTGTGTGTGAAGATACAGAAGGGAAGCCACCCATTCAAGTGAAGTTTGAAATTCCTTACTTCACAACCTCTGGCATTCAGGTGAATATAATACATGTTTTCACAATCTTTTTTTAAATCTAAATGTGATGACTAAATTGAGGCTGCTTTTTATGTTTCTCAGGTCAGGTACTTAAAGATTATAGAGAAGAGTGGGTATCAAGCCTTGCCATGGGTGAGATACATAACGCAGAATGGAGACTACCAGCTGAGAACTAACTAGCAGTTATTTGTGATTCTGTGAATTTTCATTGCTACTTGACTGAACTTATTGTTCTTATTCCTCTTGTTGCTGATGTGAAGGATGTGCGGTTGTATTTGAGACACGAGTCTATTGTTGTGTAATATAATGAAATGTTATCTTGTTTCGTCTTCACTTGCATCTAACTATAATTTTAGAACACGGGACACAAGAAACCTGGGACTGGTGTCTTCTTGTCTTTAATAGATCAGTATTCCAATGAAAGTGAACCTATTTTAATCTAATCTAATGAATTTTGTTTTTAAAGTCTTATCAGTTTTTATGAAGAACTATGTACTCAAAGCAGGCATGGTGATAAATGATGCCATCGACTGAAAAGTAGTACATTTGAGGAATTTCATTTTACTGCCGAAGTAGGTCTTGTAGCTTTGTTTGCTCTGCAGTCAGCTTATCTTGAATGAATTCATTAAAGCCCTTATGGCAGACACTGTGGGCAGACACTGTGTAGAGCATGAGCAAGATTGAAAAGCATCAGTGTTGTTGTGGGGGGCTTTGAAGTTATAAATTCGATGATGTGTGACTGTAGATGTGCTTTTGGTTATTACTGCTGTTCTGTTGACTTAAATAGTAAATTAAATGGTGCGTGCTCTATTTTTGACAAATTCAATGTTTAATTATCATTCCGTTTCTGAGAAAGTGTAAGTTTGGATAAATAAATCATGGATGTACTAAAATTTAAAAGCTCTGGAATTAAGTCAATTGTATTTATTTCAGTCCAATTTTACAATGTTTCTAAAGTCAGCTCTGCCAATACATCAACTTTTGGTAGTCAGTCATATA